AGTTGGAGGAAAGAAACACGGTTACGGTTTATGCATTTGACACCCCTCGAAAGGACACTTGGGCAGGACTCTCTCTCTCTCAGGTAGTCCTTGCCTCTCACCTCTCGCCCCTCGTCTTATCGCATATGCATATATTTTGTTTGCGGCGCCGCCTCGCAAGTTTTGTCCCGTTTTATTCCGACCTACCCCCACTGCAGTTTTTCCGCTCTTTTTTAATGCAATTTTTAGCATGAAAATTTCGGTTTTCCTTTGCCCAAATTTTTTGTTTTTTTTTGTGCCACGGGGTGGATTTTTAGGCAACTTTTTCTTGCCAGCCAACATTTTTTTAATTGCGTTTTTTCTTTTTTTTTTTTTTTTGGGTTTTGATTTATTTTCGCAGCTCTTGAGAGTTTGTTGGCAGTTTTTAGCTAGATTTTCCATTTTTATGCCCGGGTTTTCCCACGAGTTTTAAGGTAAAAAGAAAGGAAAACAAAAATAAATCTTAAATCTCTGGGCTAGATTAAGAAGAAGTGTTTATTAATGAGACAATATTCTGGGTTGGTTTTCTTTTTCTTAATTTTTGGGAGATATTTAAAATTGAGGGTAGCAAAAAAATTGAAAATAAAAATGCTAAGAAAATTCTGAGAGTAATTCAAAACTGAGACTAAGCTAAAAAATATGAGTTAGTTTCTCCAAGTTTTTTAGTATAAAAAGAATTGATTTGATTATTATAAAAAGATAGCAGCAAAAAATGGACTAACTGACTGACTGATTGATTGCTGACTGACTGACTAACTGATTGACTGACTGATTGACGGACTGAATGACTGACTCACTGATTGACTGAATGATTGACTTACTGGTTGATTGACTGACTGACTAATTGACTGACTGAATGACTGACTCACTGATTGACTGAATAATTGAATTACTGGTTGATTGACAGACTGACTAATTGACTGACTGAATGACTGACTCACTGATTGACTGAATGATTGACTTACTGGTTGATTGACTGACTGACTAATTGACTGACTGAATGACTGACTCACTGATTGACTGAATGATTGACATACTGGTTGATTGACTGACTGAATGACTGATGGACTGATTGACTGAATGATTGACTTACTGGTTGATTGACTGACTGACTAATTGACTGACTGAATGACTGACTCACTGATTGACTGAATGATTGACATACTGGTTGATTGACTGACTGAATGACTGATGGACTGATTGATTGATTGATTGACTTACTGGTTGATTGACTGACTGATTGACTGATGGACTGATTGATTGATTGACTGACAGACCATTTTCATTGTAATTACCTTATGTGATGGAGATGGTTTTTTTGGGAAAAGTGTGAAACTTTTTTGTACACCATCCGATATGCCTTGGGGTCAAGCATTTCATAGGGAAGTTTCGCGCTTAAATTGATCATATTATACATCTATATGTTTTTTTTTAATATCTTACTTCTCTTTCCCTGATCTGCTCACTTTCCTTTAAAATTTCATTCATTATTTTTGTTTTCTCATGTTTTCGGATCTGTTTCTTTTTAAATCATATCCCAATCGCTGTTAGGAAATCACTTGGGAATTCTGTACGCACTTGCCACATTTATGGGCAGTTAAAATCAGAAGTCAAACCCACAAGAAATGGGACCAGGAACTGCTCGGAATAGCTGCATGTACGCAGACCCGAATCGCTTTATGGCTTCATTAGACATTTCACTTTTAGTTGCGCGTAGTTTTTAGCCCCAACCAAATCCCTATTAGCCAAGTACACGAATTTCCTTTTCATTTTCATCTACTTTTTAGTTTAAGTTTTAGTTTTTCCCTTCCTTCTTGTTTTTTAATATTTTCCGGCTGGCCCAATAAAATGCCGACCGAAACTCTGGCCTTTATGATCTTTGCCTACATTGACTTAACCAATTCTCGGCAATGAGCGAGGTTTACGAGGTTTACGAGGCAAAGGGCAAGGACGTTGCCCAAATAGTTAGCATATTTTTTTTTTATGAACACGCAGCGTAGGCCAAAATGCGAGCTGCACTTGGCAAATAAAAGAGTCAAAAGTCAAAGGCTCGAACTCTGTTTCTCTGCCCCTTTTTAGCGTGTCCTTGTGAACGTGAGAGCGTCAGAACCAGTAGCCAAAGGGCGCGTACTTCGTGCCTAATTAACATGTAGTCGATCTGCTCAGCATCCTTTATGTACAGGGTATGCGGCGCACAAAATGTATATCTATCGATTTTTTTATGATTTACGTGGAAATCGCCGCAATTTACAGTCCCAGAGACTCGCGGCCTGTGTGCGCATCGTAAAAAACGCAAGCAGCGCAAAAACAACACAAGTACCAAGCGCTCTAAGCGGGTGGGGAAGACCTAAAGATACCCTGTAGATGGCAGATATTAGGGGAATGTGATAGAGGGAAAAAGTATGAATATATGCAGAGTTTTCTCTTATGACTTTTGATCTTATACTGCAATTGCAATTGCAATTAATGGGAGATTATTTAGATATTATTGTTAAGTGAACATATATTTATGACCACAATTGTAGTACAGTAGCTATTAACTTTATTCTTATAATGCGATTGCCTTGGAATTTGTGAGATAATTTAGATTTATTGATCCAATACAATAAACAAAACATAAAAAAAAGATATTATTGTAAAGTGAACATATATTTATGACCACAATTGTACTACAGTAGCTTTTAGCTTTCAACAAGGTAATAATTAAATCTATATAATCTTTGGCTTTTCATATGTATGCCTGACTCACCATACCCTTTTGCCATAAGGTTGCAATTACAGGGTATTTATCAGTTGGTGTAGCGCAGCCTGCGACCCCTGCCGGACCCTCTAGGTGGTTATCGGAGTGACGGAAGCGTTGCGCCTTTGGGCGTTAAATTCTGCGGCAGGACAAATGAATTTTGTACAATTTCATTTACCTGACGAGCTGCGAGCCGAGCTGAGCTGCACTTCTGACTTTTTATGACTTTGTAACAATTTTTTATGATTTCGTTTACTTTTTTCTTTTTTTTTGTTTTTGGCCATAAAAAATTGTGCATCTTTTACCTGCCGCAAGTCGTTTTTTTATTTTTCGCTTTATATGTAGTACATGTATCTGAAAGATTCTTTTTTTGGTCACCTTGAAATTTGACTTTTCGTTATAATTTGTTTGTCTCTCATTTTTTTTCTATTCGGAAGTTTTCCGGGAATAATTTGCTGTATAAAATTGTTTCTTTTCACAGGGAAAACCAAATAAATTTGGTTTTCGAAATAATTTTCATGATTTGTGAGTTGAAAAGTCAACAGAAAAAAATGTTGTGTGACAGCATATAAAATTATTTATTGTCTATTTTAATGATATGAGGTCAGTTTTTGGGATTAAAATTTTAAATGGTTTAGAAAGTACTTATTTTAATTTAAAAAAAATATTAGGAAATCAAAGTAAGTTATAAGTTTGATAAAAATAATATTAAAGCATTTTCCAACAATTGCAACGTCATAAATTTCGACATCTACATCATAAATAAAATAAATAAATTTATTTGTATATAAATAAAATAAAAAAGGAATCAAAATAATAAACGAATTGCCACAGAAGTCGCCAAGAAGCGAGCAAAAACAAGCTCGAGCAGGGTGGGCTGGGCAGGGGAGGAGGGCGTGAGTGGGGGGAGGGGGGGTTGGGTGGCAGCAGGACGACGTCTGCATAGCGAGGAGCATACAGCACATGTGTGCATAAATGAATGGCAAATAAATGCGAGAGCAGGAAGAACAAGAACAAGAACAAAGAGGCAAAAGCAGACGACAATGGGCACTGCTCAAAGCTGCAGTCGACGTCGCCGCGACGCAGCTTTAAAATATTTTTACATAGCCCGCACACACACACACAAGCACACACACACACGGACGCATAGTCGTTCGTATTTTGAGGCGTGTGCGCCAATCATAAAATAATATGCATACACACACACGCGCACACACCGTCGCAGTCGACGCCAACGCCATTTGAAAGCTAAATTTAAATTTTAAGCCACACCCCAAACAAGCGCACGCATACTGCACACACACACACACACGCACACACACAGACAATGGAGCCCAACGAACGGCAGCCGAGCCGCACAAAACGAACGCTGCCGCCCGTTTCACTCCCCTCCCCAACACACACATGCACACACAGCACACAAGACATTGTAGTAAAATTTTAAAACGTATAAAATGTTGGAGCAGGCAGCACACAAACACACACACACACACACACACACACATGCATACGGGCGCGCTCACTCTCGCACTCACACTCACGCTCACGCTCAGGCGCGCTCTCTCGCTAGACGCGCTCAAAATGCAAACGCAGTCTCACTCACTCACCAACACACACACACACACTCAAGCGTCGCGCTGCGCTCATTTCTCCACGCAGCGAATGAGATTGAATGTGGAACGCGTTTCTAACAGGCATTCAATTCTAGAACGGTAAATAATGAGTGAGCGTGCGCACGCACACACACTCGTGCATGGAGAGCGCGAGCGAGAGAGAGACCACGCGCTTTCGTTCGTTAAGCTCACACGAACACACACGCACACACACACAGGCATTCGCCCCGTTGGCGGCTTTTTTTTTTGGAGCCAAGTGCAGTTGGCGCGCCGACGTGAAACCAGTTAAACGCGTTGACTCTGCTGAAGCACATCGTGCAGCTCGTCGTGTGTGTGGCTTTTTTAACAACAACAACAACAGCAGCTAAAAAGGAAACGAGCTAAATAGAAAGAATAAAAAAAAAAGCACAACACGTTCGTTTTTTAGAGGCAAACAACCCTTACCGCTGGGGGTGGCAAGGGCAGAACCTTCCCCTGATTTTTGGGCGCAAAAACACAAATTCTTAGCTCAAAACTCGCACTCAAACAAAGTCAATGCCGGCTGTGGAAGGCATTGACTAAGAGAGAGAGAGAGAGCGAGAGAGAGAGAGGGAGAGCGAGACAAAGACAACGTTTGGCCAGCAGCAGCAGCAGCAGCAGCAGGAGCAGTGCACGTCTATCAACATCAAACCCAACATCATCATCATCATCGTCTTTGCAATTTTCATCATCATCAGCAGGCGACCGGCCTAGCGATTATCCATCAGATACAAGAGCCGAGAGTCGTCCTGGCGCATCGCAGCGCTTCTGCCGCTGTCAGTTTCAAACGAAACACGAACGCGTTTGGACGCAGGCCGGCGCAACAACCGACCCGACACAAAATAGATGCGAAAATAATCAAATACCAAACGAAAAGGCAAAGATTAAATAAACAATAGACAGCCAGCCAGTGTTAAACAACCCGTGCAAGTGTTGCAAAACAACGCAAACTTTGTGACAATTAGAAAGTGAACTTATAAAGCGAACACCCTGAACATATCCACAAAGAAAGAAAGAAAGAAAGAAAGAAAGAAAAGAAAACAATCTAAATATATACCCTATCATATTGTGAAAATGGTTATGTCGGAGCTACATTGGCGAACTGCTAGTCCCGAGGATAATAACAATTCCTTGAAGCATGATCTACTAAAGGCCAACAACAACAGCGCCCGCGACGCTGCCGTCCACATGATGCAGAATCGATGTAAGTTTCAGTTGAAAACTATTTTTTTGAATAGAGAATATTGCTTGGAAACAATGTTAAGAGTTTCGTATAGTTATGCAATGAATTTTAAGCAATATATGTTGTACATAATTATATAATAATAACAAATTATAGAACTATATTTTGGGTATTTTTACCTGAAAGTTACGTGTAGTTAGGCAAAGAATTTTTAGAAATATATAAGCTCTATTTCGACATAAGAGTTGCGAATGTTTCGAAGAGTTCTGGATAATTGTTAATTTTTTGAACTACATTTTGTATTCTTTTTGGATACTTGAAATACAATTCCATAAGATTTGTATCTTATGCTCAAGTTTAAATTATTTAAAAGTTTTTCTTTAGATTTCTCAAAGATTATTCATCTTGTATAATATATAAGAAAATATTCCAATAAATTTTTCAACTATAATTGAACTCAAGAAATCATCATAATCTTTTGTGCTGTGAGAAATTCTTGATATAATCCAATTGAAACTTTATCAGTTTATTTATGGAACTATACATTTATCTAGATTTTTTTTGACAGCTTTCTATATTTAAATTTAAAGAAGTTATTTATGATCTTTCCACTATGAAATTGTTGGAAATCCTTATATTTGTATATATTTATTTATGTATATTTAAGAAATGTTTCAACAAGTGAAATTAGCTGATCTATTAAATATTTATATTAGTTTAAGATTGAATATTTAAATGAATTTATATCAAATTCCAATTTGAGGTTAAAAGTCTGATTCACAGTCAGATCTCAGAAACTAAAAGTCCTCTCATGCGTAAGCTTGCTGCGTTTCCCCTTCATATTGTTTATTGATGCATTTGATTTAAGTATTATTACTAATCGAATCGCTTATTATTATAATGACGGGCTGACTCATCAGCTGCGGCTGCAAGCAGCCAAAACAGAGCCCCCCGCTGCAACAGCCCGACTTGCGGCACAGGTGTCCCTGTCATAAATAAATATATCACATTTTCCCCCCACCCAAAGCCCCCTTTCCCCGCACTCCTCCTCCCAACCGACGGAGCGACCCACTTAAGCGCGCACTTGTTGTCGTACCAAGCACAGAACTACTCAACTACAACTAACTGTAAACGACGGGTATTACGAACACTGGTCATAAAAAACGAAATGAATTTATTAAAGACGCATTTCTTACACAATTCGAACAATTCGAACAATTCGAGTAAAATGACCATGTAACAGGCGAAGCCTCTTATAAACAATACGATTTTTAGTTTCTTATCAAGTGTGATAAATCAAATACGTAAATGCATTGTATTAATTGTACAACACTGGCCATTGAATGTGGGCTAACTAGTGTTGTAAATGGGAAAGTAATTACAGAGATTGTAGATTAAATTTAATTAAGGTTCGTAAATGGTATGATATAGATATAGATATATATATATATGATATGGTATATAGTAGTAAAATATTTGGTATAATCTAGTTGTAGATTTGAAGATTTTAATGTTACATAACACTGGCAGATCGTGGAGAGATTGTGGCCTTATGAGAATTGATGACAAGTCGCAAATATATTAATATAATATAATATAATATGTTTTACTCGATATTTACTATATAATTGGATCTTATAAGATATACAAAATATGATATATTTATAGATAGATATTTATAATCAACTTGAATGCAAAAGATTAGATAGTTTCACTAATGAAAATCTGGTTATGTTAGTTAGTATATAACTAGAAGAAGGAAGAAGTCGGGTATAGAGTAAAAAATGATAAATTAAATCATAAATATTATATAAGCACATAATAGACTCCCTGAGATGCACATATATTTAAAGAAATATATATATATATGCTAACGAATAGATCACTTTAGAAGGGATTTGTGAACTTAGGCAGCATTTGTTTGATTCGCATAATTAATAACAGAAAATGATGATGGATTGTTAATGTACGAATTTAATGGGTCATAGATAGATTATATACAAGTGCCTTCAGCACGTATATCTCAAGTATAGTTCTATATATGAATATACATATATGTAAGTGCGCAAGTTTTTCCATCTTATCTTGGCAACCGATTAAATATGTCCGAGTCCCATGATTTCCATATACACCTGCGCTTATCTCGGCTCTCTTGAGCGCTTATCTCCAGGCACACACCTGCACCAGAACGAACGAACGAACAAACGAACGAACGACAAAAAAACTACACGTAATGCTGCTCAAAAATTTCGTGGTAAACAAATTTCGTCATAGTCCGAAGAAAAAGCAAAAACAAAAACTGCGTTGATTACAACAAATAAATCGATCGACAATAAGTTTTAAATTAATATGCCTAGATTCATTTCGGCCGATTGACGACAACACGTCGATTATTTTTAGTCATGATCGTCATATGAGCTCATAACCGGCGATAACGCGATAAGTTGAAGAAGAAGCAGAAGCAGAAGCAGAGGAAGAGGAAGAATTAGTACAAGGCTAATTTCTGTTATCGTCGATTAGGTGAAGGTGGTCAAGAAAGAGGGCGTGTGTCGCTTTTTTTATGGCCATTTCCAAGAAGTTGGGCCCATAAAATGAAAAAAGAAAAAACAGCTAAAGGAAAAAACTGGCCAAATGCAGTTGGCGTGAATTTGCACAAAGTTTATCGATTAATTTGCTGTTATCGCTGCGGAAATCGACTTCCGTTGCAGCGACCACTCTCCCGCTGTCTCCCTCTCTCTCTCTCTCTCTCTGACTCTTTGTTTTGCTACGCATATACGCACAAAGCGTAGGGCACAAGAAGCTGCCGCCGCACGCACAGCTACGGCGGGGTCAAGAGTTCAAGACACGCAGCTTCCGACGACGAGTCAATCGATAGCTATATTCAGTCTGCGCACGTGATGTGTGTGGCACAGACACACACAGACACACGCACACTCACACACACACAGACCAACACACACACTTACACTCACACACAGTTAGGCTACACCCACACACACTCACACTCACACACACAGCTGTCGAGGTCATTGACTAATTGTGCAAAAGTATCTCTCCTTTTGCACGCTCGCCGCAGCGTTGCCAATTTGGCTTTATTCCAGCTAAATGCAGCTGTTTTTTCGGCGATTGTTATCCTTAGCAGTTTTAGCTGCTTTTTGGCCTCCGAATGGGCTGCTTATTCAGCTATTTTTAGCATTTTATTTAATTAGGCAACACAGGCTCGCAATTGGCCATTCTCTCTCTCTCTCTCTCTCTCTCTCTCTATCCCACTCCCCCTACCCCTCTCTCTCATTTACAGCACCCCCGCTGCGCTTTGCGTCTGCGGTTTTTGCATTTGTTCAAAATTTTTGGCCTCGAAATTTTTAATTCGTTTTTCGTCAAATGTTGCGCTTTTCCGCACTTTTTGACCCGCTGCGCGGCACGCGCTGCCTCTGCCTCGGCTGTTGCAACCACCCCCCCTGCACCCCCCTTCGCCTTGTTGGCAGCGGGGGTGGCTTTTCAAAATCGGCTGCATAATTTATGTGGCATTTTAACGCGCCGTTTTTGTTGCTGTTGAAAATTAGTTTGGCTCGCAGAGGCCTTAAGTGCCGAGCGCCTTGATTGGGTTAGCGCAGGCAAGGGCACGGGGCAGGGGCACGGGGCAGGGGCAGCTCGAGGGGGCAGGGGTAGGTCTAAGGCGCAGGCATACACGTTTTCACGGCACATATGCCACATATCGGCATAGATCTGAGATCTCTTTCCTCCTCCTCCTCCTTTTTTTGTTTTGCTGCCACTTGAGTGGACGAGTTCTTGAATTGCCGCTGAAGTGTGGCAGCAGCAACAACAACAACAACAACAACAACAGTTGTCGCTTAATTAGTTAACGAAAGGGCGAGAGAAAAGTGTGCCAGAAGTGTGACAACAGTTGGGCAACATCTTGGAAAAAATTTAAAGTTAAACTAAGCATAACTCGAGAACTATATCAGCTAAATACACCGACTTTGGTATGCAGCTTCTCTTATAGTATATACAAGTTTTGTCTTTAGCATTTTCTATATACTCTATATAGAACCCGAGTTATAATCGCAAATAATGTAGTCTTATGAAAATCAAAGCATAAAGATGAGTTTGCAAAACAGAAGAGATCTTATTAACCGACACATAAAGCCTATAACATCATGGGAAAAATGTAGAACCGAACTAAGCATAACTCGAGAACTATATCAGCTAGATACACAGACTTTGGTATGCAGTTTCTCGTAGAGTATATGCAAGTTTCCTCTTAAGCATTTCTATATACTCCATGTAGAACCCGAGTTGCAGTTGCAGCAGAAGTTGAAGATTTGAGCTCTAGAACTTACGATCTCATATTTATTTATGCATCAGAAATATCTGAAAAATCTCTGTGAAAATAACCCCCGCTCTTTAAAATTATATAATACACTCGAAATTGTATTAAATATATAATAAAATAGTTAATCTTTTTAATTAAGAAAAACACGCTCTGCGGGCATTCCCTGGCCCATTCAGGCTTATTTATGCCCGCACTTGGCCAAAAAAGATTAACGGCGTTTACTTTATGAGCACTCGATAAGAACTGGTTTGAATTAACAAATCACCTTTCCGGAATTTATAACAGCTAGAAAATTGTCATACTTGTTGTAATAAATACAATTGTTAAAGGGATCGCTCAGTTATGAGAGAAATTATTTTAAAAGGCGCACTATATGCGATTAAAACTCGGGTTCTAGATGGGGTATATAGAAGACGCATTGGAGAAAACTTGTGTATACTATAAGAGAAGCTGCATACCAAAGTCTGTTTATCTAGCTGATATAGTTCTCGAGCTATGCTTACTTCAATTATAAACATTTCATATAACATTGTGAGCTTTATGTGTAGCATAATAAGATTTCTGCTATTATCCATACTCAACATTATGCATTGACTTTCATAAGACTACATTATTTTCGGCTAAAACTCGGGTCCTACATGGAGTATATAGAAAATTCCAAAGACAAAATTTGTATATACTCTACGAGAAGCTGCATACCAAAGTCTGTTTATTTAGCTTCCATAGTTCTCGAGTTATGCTTAGTTTCATTTAAAATTTTCCGCATTACGTTGTGGGCTTTGGGTGTCACACAATGCATTCTCATCTGTTTTCCCTTTCATAATACTGCATTTTATTTGAACTTCGTATAGTCCAAGACTAGTTACATTCACGTGTTTCCCCGAAAAAACCTATCGACTAGTCATGCGATTACCATAAAACTGACGCACTAAAGTGTTGCTAAAAAGTAGTTGCAGTTGCAAGTTGCGAGTTGCATGCAATAGACATTTTCATTCCAAAGGATCTCAGACTCATAAATTAGCCAGCGCGAGACTGAGCTGAGCCTGAGGACGCGCCCCAATTGTGCCCATAAAATGCAGTCAACGAAAAGTGTACAAATTCAAATTGTAGGGAGAGAGGGAGGGAGAGGGTAGAGGGGACTTCAGACGGGACCAGGTGCTGCCCCGGGCGTGTGCCATAAAAATATCCTTTAATGCAGCAGCGTGTCCTGTCTGCGGCCATTTGGTCAGTTAGCTTAAACGTATCGAATATCGATTCTCTCTCTCCCTCTCTCTCTCTCTCTCTGCTTTTAAAATTGCTCTGTTTATGCCCGAAACGTGCTGTCGCCTGCTGCTGCTGGCTGCCTAAAATTAAAAAGTTTTCCCTCGACTAACCGATGCATTTTCCCACTCTTCTCTCTCTCTCTCTCTCTTGCAGATATCAGCCGACTGTCGCGTTCGCCATCGCCGCTGCAATCGAACGGTAAGTACTCCTCCACTTTAATGTACAGTTAGCTCTTTAAAGTCGAACCCGAAGCAGAACTCCCATTTCGAAGCAGAGCATCAGCTGTTGTCCGAGCATTTCACGATTTGTCCACTTGGAGAACATATTTTCGAAACATCTGCCCTCGGCTGGCATCAGTTTCCAAGAGACAATCAAACACGGCTGGGAAATTCGAGGTGCGAGATGCGAGGTTCAAGTCGAAGCAACCCTTGCAATCAAAACTGCGCACTCGCTGGCCACGCGCTGTGCCCAGGGTTAGGCTCCGGGTTTAGTTTTCATTCTCGATTTCTGTTTAGGGTTAGGGTTAGGGTTAGGGCTAGGGTTACGCATTGAGGGGAACTGCATCTCAACAATGGCTGTCAAAACTTTTGTCGCACGCGAGCCTGTGATTTAGTAGGGATGAGAGAAACACAGAGAAACTGTGGAAACTCTGAAAACGGGGGTAGCTCTGTCTCTATCTTTAAGTTGATTTTGATGTCTTATTAAATGGTTTTCTTTTCCCTTTTTCGGCTTAACAGCTTCTTGAGTGCGAGTGCATTAGGTGACAGTTGTCAGTGTCATTTGGGGGCGTGGCTAATTGTTTGCTCTAGGGTTGTCACCCAATTGTCGGGGCGTACACACACTAATTGCCCCGGGCAGAGATCTATCTTTAAATAGATACATGCTTCAAAAATTGACTTTTGGTATTCATGGCCTCGCATTATTATTCATAGCTCGTTATTTTGTGTCTGAACTGCGTAAAATTTGCAATTCACACTTTACAAATTTTATGCCAACAACATCATCATCATCATCATCAGCATCATCAGCATCATCATCAAATACTAACCATGCATATGTATATTTAGCACGCCCACGTTCCGAACTTCGTTAGTCACGGCTTGGTCCAGGGTCCACAGATCCTGGACCTTTTTTTTTCTCCTCTCTTTTATATTATTGACAGCATTTCGCTTGATTTGAATTCTCACATGTGTGTGTGTTTGTGCGTGTGTGTGTGTGTGTGTGGGACCCAGTTGCTGTGATTTCTTGCGCTCCCTTTTCATTTTTTTCTTCTTTTTGCTACCGAACACATATTTACATATATTTTATGCAAAAATTATGCCGTTATGCACGAGTGTGGGAGCTGTATGGACGTATGTGCAAGTCAAACTGACCATTTGGCTTTTTTATTGGCTGGCCAACAGCGCAGGGGCGTCGCTTAAAGGGGGGAACTAGCTCAAGTAACTTGACTGTTGGGCTAGCTACAGAAGGAATATTTATGTTTTTTCTACATTTTTTGCAAACAGAAAGCAATATGAACTATTTCCGCTTTGAATTCTGCTCTAATAACAAAACTAACTATTGTAACTCGACTTCTGGGAGAGATATTAACCTGAAATTTGCACTGGAATTCAGACAACAATCCATTAATTAATTTTCCACTGAAAAGTACTATCCCTAGTTACACCAACCTATTGTAACTCAGCTGTTACTTGAGCTAGACATTACAAATTTCTGTTATTTATTCTAGCAAGTAAAACCCCCCGTTAAATGCTTTGCCGACGCCACTGCGTTTTCTTATTCACAAAACACATAGCAAAACTAACTATTGTAACTCGACTTCTACAATAGATAGCTACATTATATTTTCACTTTAATTTAGACAACAATCCATTTATTAATTTTCCATTATGAAGGACTATCCCTAGTTAAACCAACCTATTGTAACTCGGCTGTTCCTTGAGCTAGACATCCCGAATTTTTGTTATCCATTTTAGCAACTAAAACCTCCCTTCAGCTGCTTTGCCTACGCCACTGCGTTGACTGCTTCACACAACACATACAAATCGAATTTGCACATCATCTGAATACCAAATGGCCACACGTAGCCCTAACAGAAATTTACTCTGCCGCAGCAGCAGCAGCAGCAGATGACTGTGGGGCACCCACTCGTTCGAATAAGTTCGAATAAGTCATCAAATTCACGTAGCATCCACCACCATCCGGAGCCACAAGTCATAAAGTAGCCTCCTCCATGGCCAAACATATGCAAAAATTGTTGTTGTTGTTGTTGTTGCGACTGGACACAGCTGACTGACCAGTTGATGCCAGGATGTGGCCATGGGAAATTGGCAAAAATCGAAATGCCACAATTGAGATTTTAATAGAAGAGTGGTGGAAAGGGGCTGGGTATACTTCAAAGGGGCTGCCTTTGAAAAGGGTTACAACTTTTGATTGCCGGGCAAAAGTTTTGCCTAAAAAATGAACTGACGCATTTAAATATTATTGCAAATCAATTGAGTGGCCCCCACCGCCCCCTTCCCTTTATTGACTACGCCTTTGTGCAAATAAAATGCATAGAAATAGCAAATTTATACAAATCGCTGGCCGCAGCATTTGAAATGCTAAAATGGCACTCGAGAGCAGCCCAAAATGAAAAGAAAACACGAGAATTCCATTTGATGTACGTTTCGGATCGCAACGTATGTGGCCAAAAGGTAAACTAACTATGTAAACTATGAGGGGGGCGAAGTTGGGGTTGGGTGGCTCTGAAGAAAACACTTTTCGCATAATACGAGCCGCGCTTGTGTGTGGGCCTGGAAAAGCCTTTCACCCACAACAAAAACCCAACCGACTATGAAATTGTATCGAAAATTATGCAAACACATTCCGTTCTATGCTAAAGTTATGCAAAGGACATTCTAGCCTGAGTTGATGGGGTGTTTAGTAGATGGTCAATTTATCGGAGCGGGGGCTGAGGCTGGCTTCGATGTCTTTAATCGATTCGTAAATAGTTTTTTTTTAAGGAGTTGTGAGAGGTTTTTTCTATTTCTTTTGCTGGGAATGGGTCAACAAAAGGTTTCAGAAATGAGTTGGTAAAGAAGGTAAATTCAGAGCTTTCGTCTTGGTCTTCTAATAGAACTAGTTCTTTTTGGTCTTTCATGCTATTTTATTAGAACTGGTTCACAGTGGGTTATTTGAACCAATTTCTTTTGAACTTACAGGGTCTCTATTAGAAATAGTTCACAGTGAGTTAAAAGAACTAGTTCTTTGTGAACAAATTGGAAATAGTTCCTTTTCGTCTTACTTGGTGTTCCATTAGATTTAGTTCTTTTCGGTCTGTCATGGTGTTCTTTGAACTAAACTGGAAATTGTTCCTTTTGGTCTTTCATGGTAATCGTTTAGAACTAGTTCACAGTGGGTTATTTGAATTAAATTGGAACTAGTTCCTTTTGGTCTTACATGGTGTTTCATTAGAACTAGTTCTTTCAATAAATTCTTCTTGTTCTTACACGTTGATTCATTAGAACTAGTACCCTTTCGTCTTGCACTCTGTTGCCTTTTCGATTTGATTAGATGGAATTATTTATATCTATACATAATGATAATATGAAATGTTTCTAGTATCCAAAGTTTAAGTTCAATGGTGCTTAAAAATCATTTTGCAATTTTCCTATGCCTTTCTTTTGTTGAGCTTGAACTAGTTCAATTCCCTTAAAGTTCCCAGTTCCAGTTTAGCCCTGTCCCAACCTGCAATTCTTCCTCTGACAGCAACAATTTCTGCAATATTTTTCTCTTTCTCTCTCCGCTTTGCAGCTTCAGATTGCGATGACAACAACTCGAGCGTGGGCACCTCCAGCGATCGCTGTCGGTCGCCCTTGAGTCCGGCTCTGTCGCTGCAGCAGGCGAAGCGGCAGCTGCTCGCGATGCAGCCGCATCCGGCGCACCACCATCATCACCAGCACACGAATCACCATCAGCAGCAGGTGTACAAGCTGGAGCAGCCGGACGAGGAGTACGACGATGCCAACGGCGGCGCCCTCAATCTGACCAGCGACAATTCGCGGCACAGCACACAATCGCCGGCGAATTCGATCAAATCGACGGCTGCCACGCCGCCGAGTCAGTTGGCGGCGCCTCTGATTTCGCCCGTGCTGCCGCCCACCGTGGGCACGCCCACCACAATGGCTGCGGCGGCGGCGGCGGCAGCGGCAGCCGTCGCCACGAGCGTGGCAAGCGGCATGCAACCGCTGCTCGCGCTGCCCGGGCTGTCCTCGCCGCAGGCGCAATTCGCCGCGGCCGCCGGGCTGGGGCTGACAAATCCGCTGCTGACGAGCTCCATTTCGCCGCAGGACTTTGCCCAGTTCCAGCAGCTGCTGCAGCAGCGTCAGGTGGCGCTGCAGCAACAGTTCAACAGTTACATGGAGCTGCTGCGCAGCGGCTCGCTGGGCCTGCCGCAGGATGATCCTGCGCTGGCCACACAGGTCGCCGCGGCCCAGTTCCTCATGCAGAGCCAGATGCAGGCGCTGGCCCAGGCCACGCAGCAGCTGCAGGCACTGCAGAAGCAGCAGCAGGAATCGCTATCCCTCTGCAAATCGCCGCTGCTGCAGCCGCGCAGCTCCACGCCGCACGCCCGCAGCCCGGCGCCGGTGCGCAGTCCGGCCAGCTCGCCGCAGGCGGTGCATCATCCGCTGCAGATAACGCCGCCCAATTCGGCGGCCAGCCTGAAGCTGAGCGGCATGCTCACGCCCAGCACGCCCACGAGCGGCACCCACAACCTCAGCCACAGCCACAACCACAGCCAGACGCCGCAGCCGAAGACTGTTGCCAGCGCGGCGGCGGCACGTGCCGCGGGCGAGCCCTCGCCGGAGGAGACCACCGATCTAGAGGAGCTGGAGCAGTTCGCCAAGACGTTCAAGCAGCGTCGCATTAAGCTGGGCTTCACCCAGGGCGATGTCGGCCTGGCCATGGGCAAGCTCTATGGCAACGACTTCTCGCAGACGACCATCTCGCGCTTCGAGGCCCTAAATCTCAGCTTCAAGAACATGTGCAAGCTGAAGCCGCTGCTGCAAAAGTGGCTGGACGATGCCGATCGCACCATCCAGGCCACCGGCGGCGTCTTCGATCCGGCCGCGCTGCAGGCGACGGTCAGCACGCCGGAGATCATTGGTAGGCGGCGCAAGAAGCGCACCTCGATTGAGACGACGATTCGCGGTGCTCTGGAGAAGGCGTTCATGGCCAATCAGAAGCCCACCTCCGAGGAGATCAGCCAGCTGGCCGATCGCCTCGGCATGGAGAAGGAAGTGGTGCGCGTCTGGTTCTGCAATCGCCGCCAGAAGGAGAAGCGCATCAATCCCTCGCTCGACAGCCCAACGGGCGCCGATGACGACGAGTCGCCCTATATGCTCCACTAGAGCTGCCGGCCAGTGCGAAAGAACGCAACTCCAAGATTGGGACACAGACAGTGCAATGTGCGCAGACCATAGAAAAAGAGCGCACAGCTTAACTAACTAGAAGCAGGTGTGTAACAAATAATATTATTCATATTAAAACCTACATATATAAATATATTATTCCCAAAAAAAACTCGACACAATTAAAAAAAAATTTTTTAATATTAAAATATTTGCCATTATTTTTTCCTAAAATGTATTTTATATGACGAAGATTATCGAAGAACTAGTTCAACTTCATATGTGTATACATACATAGGCGTTTTAAACATGAACTAGTTCAAAATAATAATTCTACAAACACATTTTTTTACTTAACATATTTTTTTTTTTACTATAATTTGAATTGAAAAAATTGTAGCAACATTATTTTTATTATTATTTGTTTTGCAGAAATTAAAAAGAAATTTGAAAAGTAAAAAAAAAAAATTAATATATAATATATAAAATATTCACTTAATGAATAAAAATAAATATTTAAAAAATAATTTGATGACAAAAAAATATATAATTTTTAAAAATATATATATATTTTTTTTAATTTTTATATTATTTTTTAAAAATTTATATTATTTTTTTAAAATTTACCTAAGTACTAGTTCATATATTCTACATACTTTTTCTTACTAAATTTTCGCTCATCTTTGCTCTTCTTTGCAGGTTCAAAGTCGCAAAACACATCAAATATTAGCATAATTCTTCACTATGATTCGGTTTCGAGAACCAATCACACACGCACACACACACACACACACACACACACACACAAACGCACACATGTGGCTCTGTGTTTTGTTTTATGTTAACTATTATCGGTATTTATTATAACAAATTAAATATATATATATAAAAAAAACTTGCATAAGAAAAGTAGCGCAAAATGTCGCTGCTCAAGTGAACTGGAACTTGTTCACTTGAACACCAACATTTTGCACCTAAAAATTAATGCGATTGCCCACTGTGCGCGGGCAAATGTATTGAATTTTTGAATAAAAATATCCTGTTCTACACGGCGTATGATTAACATTTAAGTAAACTTTAGCCTAAGACATCTTTCTGTGTAGGTTAACCACGCGGTGTGTGTAAAAAGCGCCGTTCTTCAAGTCAGTAAAAAACAGTTTCTAGCGAATAATTTCACTAACAAAATAATAAACAAAAATACAAAATGGGAGAAATATTTTAAAAATTCATGAAACCAACTTTTAAGCATATTTATTTTTTCGTGAATACTGTGATAATCAATTGAATGATTTTTAATTTTAATTTAAACAAAAACTAAACAACAAAAGAAAACAAAAACAATAAATAATTAGCAATACTTTGTATGTTATGGGCAAGCAAACTAACAATTCAAGAAATTAAAAAACATTCTTAATTTAAATTTAAATTAATCATATAAAAGAGGAAAACATGTAACGGAAAAACCAATTGAATTTATCAGAAACACACACATTTGTAATTGTAAATTATAAAAACTAAAAAAAAAGGAAGCAAAAAATATATATTAAAACTTGTACTAATAGAATTTTAAAATGTATAAAAAAGAAATTAAATTAAAAATAATTAATAAAAAATTCAATAATTATCAAAGAAATTTTAAAAGGCCTTTTATCAATTGGGTTGGGTGCACTTAGACGAGATTTGACCGAGTTATGGGGTTGGGAAATTTCGACCCATGTCTATATACGAATCTTGGGGTAAGATTTGGACATGAATTTCGACTAAAAAATACGTGTTCAGATTTGAATGCCAGATCAATCTAGAGGGAAAACCATGAATAAAAAGCCAAGCCTCGTAAAAATCGGATGAGATTTGACCGAGTTATGGGGTTGGGAAATTTCGGCCCATTCCTATGTACGAATCTTGGGGTAAGATTTGGACATGAATTTCGACTAAAAAATAACTGTTCAGATTTGAATGCCAGATCAATCTAGAGGGAAAACCATGAATAAAAAGCCAAGCCTCGTAAAAATCGGATGAGATTTGACCGAGTTATGGGGTTGGGAAATTTTGACCCATGTATACATACGAATCTTGGGGTAAGATTTGGACATGAATTTCGACTAAAAAATATGTGTTCAGATTTGAATGCCAGATTTATAAAGAGGGAAAACCATGAATAAAAAGTCAAGCTTCATGAAAATCGGATGAGATTTGACCGAGTTATGGGGATGGGAAATTTCGACCCATGTCTATGTACGGGTAAGATTTGGACATGAATTTCGACTAAAAAATAACTGTTCAGATTTGAATGCCAGATCAATCTAGAGGGAAAACCATGAATAAAAAGCCAAGCCTCGTAAAAATCGGATGAGATTTGACCGAGTTATGGGGTTGGGAAATTTCGACCCATGCCTATGTACGAATCTTGGGGTAAGATTTGGATATGAATTTCGACTAAAAAATATGTGTTCAGATTTGAATGCCACATTAATCTAGAGGTAAAACTATGAACAAAAAGCCAAACCTCGTAAGAATCGGACGAGATTTGACCGAGTTATGGGGGTGGGAAATTTCGACCTATATCTATTGAGGATATTTGAGGTCAGTCAGTCAGGACAAACAGTTTTATATCTTGGGATGTATTTAGTTGAGTTATACTTTTTTTAAAATTTATTATTTTTGTATTGCTGTGGTGTTTATTTATAGACTCTTATTTTTTATTAATATTTTATTTTTTGGTATAATTTTTGTGCTTCAGTCTTTTGTGCAATTCAGAAACATCCCACAGCATACACTGGCAGCTCAATGATAAGAATCACAAAAAAATTATGAAAAATAACTAGCTCAGAGTACACACACACACACACACACAAAGTCACACACATGAGACAGAGGGCATAAACAGTGGCATGAAAAGCGGCAGCTATGAAAGAGAATCGCGCGCGGCTTGAGTAAAACGCAAAATAAAATTTTAATAAATAACAACATGCAAAACTGAAATTAATTCATGGAATTTTTGCCTACTGATTGCCCAGTTGCTGGCCCATACCCGTACCCGTACCCGTACCCGAACCGGGTCCCAGTCCCAGTCCCAGTAACCAGTACCAGACCCTCCTCCCTTGACGGGGGGCGTCGCGAGCTCGAGCTAATAAGAAACAGACAGAACACCCGAGGTCTGTGTAGGGGACAATTGAAGCAACTGAAGCCGAAGATGACGAAGATATGAGCATGCAGATGAGCTCTGAGCATGACACACGATCAAACATGCACACAGGGGCGTAGCGAGTGAGTGCGAGGGGGGGTTAGAGAGATTGGGAGAGGGCGAAGCTATCAATGAAATGCCGACGACGTCGCACTTGCCAAATGAAAGCGCTGCGATTTGAACTGGAGACAGCTGAGAATGGCACTGAGAATGGCACTGAGAATGGAAGTAGGTCCGCGAAGGGGGGGGTGGATTGGCATTGTCATTGTCGCTGGGGCTTTGTGTAATTAAGAGTTGCCAGCTGTACGCAAATGATGTATCAGATGCAGCCTGATGATGCCCTCCCCCCCCCTTAACCCTCTCCCTGCAGAGTGCATAATCATCGCGTGTCATGTGGAAATTTATACTATTTATGGTCTGTTTGCTTAAAGGGAGGGGGGTGGTGGAGGGGGGGGGGTGGATTTGTCGGGGCACGGCATCAGCTGTTATGGAAAAAAGGGGGAGCACTTAAGCAGCTCTTAAACTGTGCACCGCGCATTTTGGCTGCCAATGTTAATAAATTCATGGAAAATTGCCCGTAATTACGAAGACGACGACGACGATTTCACATGAATTTCGCTGTTTGTTTTATGTGTGCGAATTGGCGAATTTGCATTTGGGAATGCGGCAAGTGTGTGCACAATCTCCTAGACATTAGCTACTTTGTAGCTGTACTATTTGCAAGCCTGGCATAAATCTTTTGGGCTTTCACATCACGACCCCCAATGGTCTATTCCCAGAGTGTTAACTTTCTAGGCTCAAAGCCTGACTGCCTGTCTTCAGAGAACTGTGAATATTCATTGAGTTATCAAGAGGCGCATCTAATTATCGCAGCGCAGCCCAAGACGCGAGAATTATAGCTTTAAGGTGACGGATCGTGGGCCCAGTATAACATATGGCGCATACCCTAACAGAGAGGGTAATCATAACTGGACAACAATTGTGTAACATACAAAAGAAGACATTTGTATGGCATCGCTAGATCAGCTAAGTCAAAAAAAGTCATATATGAACTATCCATCTATTTAGCTGACTATGTGAACTCGGGCAGTTTAGAAGCTAACTCGATGAAACTTGGTACATAAACTTATTTTTGTTACTCTTACAAAATATTTTTTGAAGCACTCGAATCAGCTTACTATATCATATAGCTGTCATAGAGACTATCGGTCAAAATTTTAGTTTTTGTATAAAAAAACTCTTTTGTTTCTGCACATACATTTGATCTTAAAGGGTATTCTTTGATTAGATCAGCTGAGTCACAAAAGTCATATATAATCTATCTATCTATTTAGCTGACTATGTGAACTCGACAAGTTTAGAAGCTATGTCGATGAAACTTGCTACAGAGGCTTCTTTTTGTTAATAATAGAGTATACATTTGGATTGCTCGGATCGGCTTACTATAGAGACAATCGATCGTCATTTTGAGTTTTTGTATGAAAAACTCCTTTGTTTCTGCCAATATCTGAAACAATTTAAACAAAAAGAAGTTCCATTCTTCTAAGCTCCAAAATGTTTTACTATATAATCCATATATTATATATCTACCATAGGAACAATCAATTAATAAAGGGATTTCTGTTTATCAGATTTGAAAGTTTATCAGATTAAAAAGTTCAATTAAGGAACATTTTATCTTTAAGGGTATTCAATTTTCGTCCAACTGAAGCGCACTTTTTTCCACCTGTCACATTTAAATCTTGCCTGAACAAGTGCTTAATCTCCACCCCATTTGCACAACCCCCCTCCACCGCCCAACCCACCCTCTGGCCTGGCCGTCTGTCAGGTGGCATCAAAGACATCAAAACTAACGAGTACAGCGCATAAATTTTGTCTTTAGCTGCATTTCCATTGCCATTTTCCATTTTCCATTTCCCATTTCGCATTTCCCATTTGCCATTTCGCATTTGCCATTTGGAGGCGACTTTCTAGTCGCGTTTTCTAGCCACAAATTTGCAATGCAATTGCATTTAAAGTTTGGATTGTTTAATTTATCAGTTCAGCACACAGTTGGCATCTCAACTGTGGACATGAATATGCAACATGCATTTACTTGCATATTTATTTCATTTCATGGACTGCATTTTTACACTAAATCTGAATGGACGCCAACTGGTTTTCTAGTTGGCCCCTTACTGAGCCAGGGATGGGGTGTGGAGGGGTGAGAGGGGGGGGGGGTCTGTTATCCATACATAAATTGCATTATCGAAGCGAGCTGCATAGTTGAGCAAAATATTTATTTGAACAAGCTACTGTCTTAATTTATGTTGCACTTGTCTTAAACTAAGTATGTGAAACAGTTTATCAAGCTTGTGGAATAATTTAAAGACTATCTAATCATAATTAAAATAATTGCTGATCTATAAATCGTGCTGGCTTTTAAAATTTATGGCACATTCAAGCACAATTCAAGGCGTTATACGAAATTCTTTACTAAGACATTTTGAAAAAATTAAATATTAAATATTTGCCAGTTAATATTAGAACGAAAATAAAGGAATATTATTATGCCCATCTAAAAAAATTGCTAATATGAAAAATCAGAAATGAAATTTAATAAATTGAGAAAATTACGTGCAGCAAATTTTATATAGAATTATTTCATATTTCGTTTGCTTAAAAAAGGTAATTAAATTTATTTTAATCAATAAAAATATTTTTAAGCAATTGCAGAAGAGATAGACAATTTTTTCTTTGTAAAAATAATTTATAGAAATTTTTTTTAAATAAATATTTTTTATAAAATATTTATATTTAATATACATTATTTTATATATTCAAATATTTGTAAAGAATGGCAGAATAGGCTATACAAATTCTTTTACACAAATAATTTAATTGATTATTTTAATAATTATTTATAGTATAATATTTATTTATAATATAAAATAATTTAAGAAATATGGTTATTTTATTTACGAAAATTATAAAATATTGATTAATTTTGATAAGAAATTATACGAATTCTTACAAGGAATAATAGAAAGAGGCTTGATGTAATTTGTTGACATATTGTATATAATATTTCTATAAAAAAGATCGACAAATGCGAAGCAATTTCGATCGAGTCGAAATCAATCAATATTACCATAGACGATTGCCCAATACTCGTACTGCCAATGGACATATTGACCTTGTGAATATTATGTGAATTACTCGTTTGATTCATATTGCATTTGCGTGCGCCTAATGAATGCAACTGCGCGAATTAAAAACCACAAAGAATATAATTA